TCTATGTTATCATGCCTGAGGAAATTATTAGAAAACATGATCCTATTAAGACTTGACGCAATTTGGTTTCCGAAAGAGTAAAGGAACAAACGATTGTCTAGCGATGCTTTCATCTGATATTCAACTGGCCTTTGCGCACAAGGAGCAATTGGCTTCAGTCTTTTTGGATATTAAGGGCGCATTTGATTCGGTTTCCATAGACATACTGTCAGACAATTTGCACAGTAGTGGATTACACGGTATTTTAAATAATTTCTTGTATAATTTACTGTCAGAAAAACAAATGAGCTTCAATCTAGGTCAACTGAAAACTTCTAGAATTAGCTACATGGGCTTACCCCAAGGTTCATGTTTAAGTCCCTTACTTTATAATTTCTATGTCAAAGATATTGATAACTGCTTAGATAATCAATGCACGCTTAGACAGCTTGCAGATGATGCCGTGGTTTCCATGAGAGGTCCACGTGCAGAAATCTTGCAAAGACCATTGCAAAATTCCCTAAATAATCTGTCTCTCTGGGCAAGAAATTTAGGGATCGAGTTTTCACTGCAAAAAACTGAATTGGTAGTGTTTACAAGGAAGCGGTTTCCAGCCCAACTGCGTCTAAATCTTTTGGGCAGAGACATTACCCAATCTTTAACCTTCAAATACCTTGGAGTCTGGTTTGCTTAAAAATGCACTTGGGGTACCCACATTACGTATTTGAAACAAAAGTGTCAACAAAGGATCAACTTTCTACGATCAATTTCCGGGACATGGTGGGGTGCTCACCCGGAAGACCTCATTAAACTATATAAAACGACTATTCTTTCAGTTCTTGAGTATGGCTCTTTTTGCTTCCTCTCGTCAAGAAAAAGCCACCTAATCAAATTGGAACGTATTCAATATCGTTGTTTACGTATCGCCCTTGGCTGTATGTATTCAACACACAATATAAGCCTAGAGGTCCTAGCGGGTGTAAAACCCCTGCAGAACCGTTTCTGGGAGCTCTCATTAAGAATATTGATTAAATCAGTGCCAACATTTCAAAAGGGCGTAATTGCTTTTGTAAACAATGGCTTTAGACGTCGATTTCTCGCAAATGAAAACCCACCCCTCTAAATTACAAATTCTAGCTGATACAGGAAACATTCCTCTGCGTGCTGGTGTCATTTATTTTCATGAGTGAGCTTTCATTCGCGAGAAATCGACGACTAAAGCCATTGTTTACAAATGCAATTACGCCCCTTTGAAATGTTGGCACTGAAATGTAGTGTCAGTAACAACCTTGTGATTGAAAACTTCGAAGAAATGCTCGAATTGAGCATCCAGTCTAGATTCGTGCGAATCTATCTTAATTATATGTCATCGGATATTAGCCTTCCTTGCTATAACCCCTCTCGTGTATGCTTTACTAACTACAGTTCCCCCATTGACTATGATCTCTCCATGAACCAGGCTATTCAAGGAGTTCCATATCAACTTCGACCTATCTCAATTCCCCGCATTTTTGCTGAAAAGTACCAACAAGTCAATTGCAATAGAAGATTTTTCACTGATGGATCACGCATTGATGGATCCACTGGCATCGGCGTCTTCAATGAATACTCAACCGCCTTTCGGAAACTTCAGGAACCTTGTTCCGTTTATGTTGCTGAGCTAGCAGCAATCAACTTCGCATTGGGGATGATTTCCGATATGCTCATAGACCATTACTTCATCTTCTCAGATAGTCTCAGTTCGATTGAGGCTATTCGGTCGATGAAACAAGGTAGGCACTCATCTTATTTCCTTTCAAAGGTAAGGAGCAGATGAGTTTGCTGGTCGAAAGATCATATATGATTACCTTTGTATGGGTCCCCTCACATTGCTCAATCTCAGGTGGGCGCACAACAAGCCGAGATTTATGATAGAAGAATTTCACATCATGATTTTTTCCCATTAGTACGTCTGAGTTCTCTTTTAAGTTGGCAAAACGATTGGACAAGTAATTCTCTTGGGCGGTGGTTACATTCCATTATTCCAAATGTTTCTTCGAGAGCGTGGTTCAAAGGTCTGGATGTAAGTCGGGGATTCATTCGAGTGATGTCAAGACTTATGTCCAACCACTACTCGCTAGATGCACATCTCTATAGAATAAACCTCGTTGACAGCAATATATGTAGGTGCAGAACCGGTTATGATGACATCGATCACGCAGTTTGGTATTGCCCGGGTAATGACGCCTCCAGAGTGCGACTATTGGATACCCTAGTGGCCCGAGGTAGACAACCCTTCCGTGAAGTAAGAGATGTATTGGGAACACGTGATCTTCCCTACATGCAAGCGATCTACGAATTCCTTTGTTTGTCTGATGTTAGAGTTTGATGTGACTATCCCCTCCTTTCCAAACAATTTTCCGCCATTGTGTCCCAGTCTTATTATCCTCCTGTTCCTGTGCTACTGGCCCTTGCCCAGCCAGGATTTGGTCAACCGTCCGAGAGTAGTATCTGAAGGAGGCTTCAGAAACCAGTTTCCTACCTAGATCCTTCCAATTGAAATTGTTACCCACTAACCTCGAGCCCGCCACGAGTAATTGGTACCCAATACTAACCTAGAAATACTGCTATTTAAAATGTAAATCAAACATTACTGATTTTGGCTCCGCAAAGTGTCACACATGACTGAGCCTAGTAAATAAACGAACTAGTTTAAAAAAAAGAATGAAGTACCAGTCAAAAAATGTGTATTTTTATACTCATTAATGGGTAAAAAAAACTTCAAACTTTGCTGCATCCTGATTTGTTGACGCACGCCATTTGCTAAATTTTCTGTGAAGAACAGCAGGTAAATGGAGGAACTACGGTCCAAACTGGACAGTGCGCAACGATGGACATGCTAGAGGGTAGGTGATTTATACTTTTGTCATACACAGCAAAAAAAAAATGTAATATCGATCCACGTAATTCAAGCTGATGTATGAAATAATGATGTAATAGCAAAAAGCAAATACAATATTACATCAATGGACGTAATTTTGTTCTCAAAATTGATGTACATCGTACAACGTAATATTACACAACCGGCGGAATGATCTCTGTGCAGCTGTTTAGATGTAATATTCAACAACTTTTTTTTTTCTGTGTAGCTTTTAGTTTTAGTTTAGTTTACATACTTCATATACTGATTTTTGTTTTTCTTCCCTTGATTTGTTTTGCGTGCTGACCACCAATGCTACCGACGCCAGGGAGGAAGCTCTCATACCTGGACCCTACCTATCGACCCATCACCCATTATATTTTAGTTCTAGAAATGATTACTTTTTACACATTTTGCTGTAAAAACCGTTTTTGAAAATTGTGTAAAAAATACACTTCTTTTGATGTTTGCTGGGTTTACATATAAATGTGTAAACGCAGTTTACACATTTTATGAGTAGACCCCTTTTTTCACGAAATGTGTGAAATTTTACACATTAATGTGTTTACGCTGGTTACCGTGTATTGTTAGAATTGTGTATCGCATGGAGAGCCCAACCGAGATGTTAGCCTATTAAGACTGCAGTTGGTCAACTCTCGAAAAAAAATATTGGATAATTTGTATTGACTTATCCGTAAGCCTCTCCAACATTTTGGATTCTAACCTTTTCCGGAGATCGTCTATTTTCGCTAAATATGCTGCGGACAGTAAAGGGTCAAGGCCGGCGCACAATAGATACGTTTTCAGGTTTTTTGACAGTTAGCCCATGCATTATCTGTCAAAAACCCGAAAACGTATGCATTGTGCGCCAGCCTTCACCCACATTAGATCCGTTTGCGTTGCGTTGACGTAAATTTGACAGTTAGACAATAGATTTAGCTGTCACTTTGCCGCAACGCGTCCGATCCGGATCTAATGTGCGTGGGCCTTAACTGTTTGTATTCCCAATGAGTCGGTGACGGAAATGAGACGATAAAAATTTCGAATTGTATTTTTTTTTCACCCATTAGTGGGTAAAAATATACCCATATAACCCGTGAACTGATTCTTTTAATGGGTATTTTTTCACCCATTTTATGATTTCAAAATGCCTCCATTTTTGGATAGCTGCATACATGGTTTGAAAATGGGTATTTTTTACCTAGTATGGGTTTTCGCGAAACCGTGTACGCGTGTTTTTTGCACGCTATTTCAAAACTTCCTAAATTTGGGTACAATCCACACAGATCGGTCAAAACTGGACCTACCCAAAAATGGGTAAACTGGTGGCCTGAATTTATAAAGAGGTGACATCTTATCCATTTGACAGGTCTTCTGCTCGATTGGAATGACTTTTCCTATGACTTTGACAGACGATCGATTGTTCCAATTTTGACATGTCGTCTCTTTATAAATTCAGCCTCTTTAGGGTAAACTATGTTCGGAGTGACAAGTTGACAAATGAACAAAATCGAACGGATTCATGTTGATATATGTATGTATATATCTTGATAGAGCTGGAATTAGGGCGTAACAGCTTTTGTAAACAATCACTTATTTTGATGATTTCTAGAAAGTTAAGGCTTGCCAACGCAAATCAATAACACCAACGGGTAGGGGGAAGAGTTCCCCTACCTGACGGTTATGCTGGTTTGCGTGAGCGTGCCTTGAGTTTAAAGAAATCATCGATAGAAGTCATTGTTTACAAAGGCTGTTACGCCCGAATTCCAGCTCTCTCTAGATATGATATGTTGTCCATTTGTCAACTTGTTACTCCCAACATAGTTTACCCATTTTTGGGTAGGTTCAGTTTTGACCATTTTTGGGATGGTTGAGGTTTGAAATCAATGAGCTGGATTACCGAGGTGAAGCAATCACTCACACAACCACTGTACGATACACGCAAGCACACGCAAGTAGTGACGTCACTACTTGCGTTTACGTTGATTTTTTGGTTTACTAATACAACCCTATTTCACGATCTGCTTAACCTTTCTCTGTACTCATTGGTTTGGTTTGTGGTTTGGTGGTTTGGCGTGTGCATTATTTATTCCTACCTTAATAAAACATCTTTAGTAGTCATCTTGAAAGAACTTGACGTTGCTACCAACCTTCCGAAATTGTTCACCCTGATTTCTTTTTCGTCCAACTTTTGTAAAGCAACGTCATGGCTCCAGTGGTGTGTTTCAAATTATTAATTTTTCTAGTGCATTCTTAGAACATTACTCTTCGTTTCACGATTCTTGGATGCTCGAAATTGTAAAGAAATTGGAAGATTATGCATTATGAACTGTCCGAGCGGTTTGACACCGCTAAGATCTTTTATTGTTGAATGCGATATCTCCCACGTGTGCTGAGCAAATGTTCAATAGGATGTATTCCGGTGATTTTGATAAATAAAAATGTTCCTTTCGTTTTTAGGTGAAAGCCGTCGCGTCTGTCAAGACGAAACCCGGCAAGGGTGGCAAACTGCCCAAGAAGCAGCTGCTACGAGGCAAGAATGCCCTGAAGAAAAAGAAGGAGCACTTGCGTTTTGGAGTCGACTGCACCAACATTGCCGAAGACAATATTATGGATGTCGGTGATTTCGTAAGTATACGAACGAATCCTCATTATCCTGATTACGGATTGTTAAAAAAAACGCTGATAATAGTTTCCGCTGCCCGATTCTTGATAGAAGCTAACTAAATTGTATCCCCTACTCATTGTGTACCGAGATACATACATAACCACACTTTTCCATCAGTGGACTTTGTTTACTAACATCGAAATCATACCCGGTTATCATTTCCGGTCTTCCTGCTATTGGGTAGGCAATCTCTACATTTCAACCATATACAGTCTCTCCCTTACTCGACTTATTCAAGGGACCATAGGCTCGTAAAGTAAAAAATCTTAATTTCTGCATATTAGCCAAGAATGCAATAGTCTATTTAGCTATTCTTTATTTGAAAGATTTTAGCCATTTCTTGACATAAAAATTCACAACCTAAAACCGTTGTAGTAGATCACAATTTTAATTCACAGTGATCCGGGAAAAAAATAGGCGTTTGGCCATAGGAACAATGTGTCTCCTCCCTCCTAATAACACTAGTTTACAAATAAAAGTAAAAAAATAACTTCAATGTTCGATCTATGATCCTTATGTAAAATCGTGCGCTGAATCAAAAAATGTAAAATCCCAGTAGGATATTTTTCTAATGTTATTTAGTTGGTCGAAAGAAAATTTTCTTATCTTTAAGTTGGCCATAAAATAATTTAAATAGCTTCATTACAGCCGGAGCTATTTGTATTTTAGTAAACAAACCTTTTTTGAGTGATATTTCATTTTTTAGCTGTATCTAGAAACCTACCGAGATTTTTTCTGACTACATTTTTGGATTCAACAATCGATTTTACATGGGAAATGACCACCAGCTTACAAAGTTCAAATATGCTGTGAACTAGTGTAATCAATTAATTGTATACATTCTACAAGAATCTCTTGCAGGCCTAATGCCTACTGAAACTGTTCATTTCATTTTTGTATGCACAAAATACTTTTCTCTAACGCGAATACTTGAACAATGTAGCTCAAATGTGAATTTTTTTTGTAAGAAAATAAGGTTTATAAGTAGTTTCTAATAATTAATCGGTTTCGATATTTGATGATGCCAATACACCAGTAGTTAATTTCCTGTTTATATTATTTCATATAGAAAATAGCGGTCATTAACAAATTTTTTTTTTTTTTTTTTTTTTATTTATTTATTTATTTATTTATTTATTAGGGGGATTTACGTATTCTCGGCAATATCTATGTAACGCGCACATTTGCCGTTTTTGGTTGTTTATATTCATCTGATGCCTGCTGCTTTATCAATTCCCAGGGCTGGTAGCGAGTCGCTTTTTAGTGATAAAAAGTCTCTGTTTAAGGCCAAGTCACTAAAGCCACTTTTTCTTGTAATAAGTCACTATTTTCAACTTTGTAGCGTGAATTTATTTCAAGATTGATTATTCTTTGCGTTGTGACCTTTAATTGTCTTTCTCTATATACACGATGTCTACTAGTTTTTGTGGATAAAATTACCTGAGTTTTCCAAGTAAGTCCAAGATCTTAAAATATTAAATGTCTTAAAGTTTCGTATTCCATGTACAAGTTCAAGATAATGCAAATATTCAAAGTGCCAGAATTAAGTAAGCAAATAAATGATTTATTTCAAGTTCGTAATTACCTATATGAAAGATTAGGAATCTTCAATGCAGTCTCATTAACTTTACAACAATTGTAGGAACTTTGGAGAAGTTCTGAGGAATGAAAGGAAATGCTGAGAATTTCAGTGAAGCTCTATAAACAAACTGTAGGAACATAAGGGAAGTTAACACGCTGAAAATATGGGAAACTTACTGGAAGCTGTCAGAACCTCAAAGCGGTTCTTTTAGCACCCGAGACTTCTCAGGAATTTTTATTTTAAATTTTTTTTAAAGAAGTTCTAAGCACCTCGAAAAGCTGATTAAAAATCTATAATCGTAAATTTAGATAAATTCAAGATAAATCCATGATGTACTGGAAAACAAATCGTAAACCCGCAAATTTCAGAGAATTTATGAAAACTTCAGAAATATTTCAGAAACTTTACAGAAGTCCAAAGAATTTCAGAGAAATTTAAAGGTGTTGACGAGAATTCTATTTATTTCCCAGCAGGCTTGCAATTGCTCATTACAGCTCAAATGCTAGTTTTCGTAATTATGAAACTATGGGATACTATAATCATAATTTTATTTGTAAGAAGCGAGAAGAGGTGGTAAAGTTTGTGTATGACATAAAATTAGTCAATTTTGCTTTCAGAAGGTCACAACTAACGATTTTATGACCGCTGATTGCTCGCTCATCGTTACAGCTAATCGCTATTGTGACCCTCTGAAAGTTAAATTGACAGGTTTTATATGTCATACACACACTTTACCTTCTTTTCTTGCATCTTGTAAATAAGAATTATCATTAAAATATCTCATTGCTTCAAAAATCTGAAAAATAGCATTTTAGCTGTAATGAGCATTTGCAAGCTTGTTTCCCAGCATAACCGAGGTCTTCAATAGAAATAAGAGCTTTATGGAAACTTCGAGAACTTAGGTCAAAGAATCAAAGGGCAGTTCAAATAATTTATAGGAAATATTGGATACCTTAAATAAGTTTCGAGAAACTCAGTGAATTTCCAAAAACTTCAGCAAAGCTCCGAGAGAATTCCTGGAAATTTTATGAACATCCGGAAAACATGAGAGTATTTTAAGGGTGTTATATCATGGAGATTTCAAGAACTTTAAAAAATGCGAAAATTTAGCTTAGTTGATTAGAGAACATCAACAAAGAACTTTTAGTAAGATGCGATATCTTCAAGAAATTCCAGAGAACTAAATATAGATATTTTTAGATAGTTCCGAAGTACTTCGAGGACGATCAGAAAGCTTCAGAATAATCCCATTAACTTAAGCAAATTTGCAGCGACTAACAAGGAGTTCCGTGGAATTATAGGGTATTCCAAGAATTCTATGATTGATCATAAAATGTCAGAAGCGTCAGGGAATTATGAATATATATCAAAAAATTTGCTGGATGATTAAACAAATTTAGAGAACTTCAGGTAAGCATAGATACGTTCAGGGAAAAGTGAATGTTAATAATAAGAAACAGCCAAATTAATTGATTTCAGTCAAGTTGCGGGTTCTTAAAAAAAATACTGATAAATTCAGGGCAGTCTAGAGAACTTTAAAGAAATTCAGCAATCGTTTAGGGACCAGGAAGTCTAGACTATTGAAGAAGTTTTAAATTAGTCGATAATTTAAGGGAAATTTTATGAACTTCAGAAAAATCTTGAGAACTTTATTGAAAATCATAGAACTATATTAATTATTTCGTTCTAATTTCATGAAAATTGCGGGAGCACAAAAGTTCCATAAATTTAGAAAAACTTCGGAACTTCACAGAAGAACAGTGGTCTTCTGAAACCAAAAAAAATATTTAGCTATTTATCAATTTTATCTAGATGAACGCTTCATTGGGACGGTACTAATACATATTTTTGGTCGCTATTTAAAATTTAGTCGATTGCTGTATTTATGCATGGGCCATTTCCCCTATTTGTTTAAATTTATTTCTTACGGAAGATTAATCCACTGTGAATCTTTAAAGTTCAAAGTGTGAATGAAAATAACGGGAAAAATTAAATGTTTGTATTTTAAAATTCATTATTTTCTTTAAAATATCCTTAGTAAGAATTTTTTTAAATTCTTTGAGCCTTCAAAAAACAAGTTTTCCTGAGGATTCCCTGTTTTCCAGATTTTTGTAGTTAGTAGACACCGTGACTAATACCGTGGGTTTAGTTATAAATTTTCTATTGTATTTTTCGCTTTAAAGGTTCATATCGTACATAAGTGTTTATGAGATAATAATTGAATAAGTCATTTATTTGATGCGCCTACTTTTAGGTCACTTTTTAGTCGCTGTTTTTACAACTATAGTTAACCTTTTAGTCACTTATTTATTCAAAATGGTCACTAAAATCACTATTTCTCACACCAGCCCTGCATATTCAAATCGATAGTATTGTCCCAAACTGTTTTAAAACAATGCTCCTAACTTCTCAGGTGAGTGTGACTATTATCGGCAGCCTCTTTTTCTTCGGCAACCTTTTCTTGATTCGCTTGTTAATCTGATGGTCTATTATCGGCAACTTGAAATCAGCAGCATTTTGTAGTGCGTGTGTTTCATTTCAAGTAAAACAGGAAAACAAAATGTGTTTGCTCAGCCATAAAAACCTTATCAGATCAGATGCTGTAAGTCTTAGGAATCTTTTGAAAACATTCAACAAAGTATTTTGGTGAGAAAATACAGTGAAGTTACCGTATAAATTGTTGTTCCCGAAAACAGTCAATGGGTGCCGAAGCCGACATTTACTCTATTTGATAAATAAGAGGTTTGTAATATTCTATTCTTTTGCCTCTAGCTGTTTCAATAAAGTATAGTTACAATTAATCTTTCCCTAATATTTATGCATATTCTTTTCGAGATAGTTAAAAGTATTTGAAGCATTTACTAGTGGAAATTAATATAAGGACACTTTAAAAGCCATGGCTCCTCTCAAATCTATAGAATCAGAGGAATTCTATATCATGTGTTTTTTTGGAAGCCACATTATCATGCTACAATATGAGCCTAAGAAAGAACCAATTGCATCATGTAGGGGAAATGGCTCTAGTGTTGGCCTATGGATCTAAGATTGGGCCCATCGCTAAAAGTCTGCTATTTATCAATTTTATCTAGATGAACGCGTCATTGGGACGGTATTAATGGATATTATTGGTCGCTATTAAATATTTAGTCGATTGCTGCATTTATGTATGGGCCCAAATTAGGGCCATTTAGGCCGACATTACATTCATTTCCCCTTCGTAGGAACAATAAATACGAAACGAAATTTAATTATTTTATTCATGTGTTTCACTTATACATTTTTGCCAAAACATAAGCCTTATACATTCCATAAGACAAAACACATAGGTCCTATAAGAATGCATACAAGGATGTGTGACTGCTTATACATTTCATTTGACACATGATCTTCATTAACTTCTTGCAAAGCGTCTGCTTATTAGTTGTCTTATACATTTTATGAATAATTAGCATTAGAAATTTGCCAAAAGCCAAAAGGAGATTTCTATCCGTGAATGGAAATGTGTTTTTCTCCTTCGGAAATAAATATAAGCACAAGCACGGCATACAAAAATGTATGGTAAATTGGCCATTTTCGAAACATTACATAGTATGGCACCAAAATAATAAAAGAGTTAGTACAAATAATTATTAAACTTCATTTCTGAAAAGTGATCCAATCGCTAGAAGTTCTCGAACATCACAAAAATCATTGGTTGATCAGCGATGATCACATAGGAGATACTTACATTTCAGTGAAGTAGAGCCCACCGAGATAATAGCCTAGTATGATTAATTACGTTGGTAAACTCTTGAAAAAAAAAACTGAATTTGATTTCCCAATCATTCATCAAACGTATTATGCATTGTTTTTTATTATGATCAAAGAATTCAGTTTGAATTATTTATTTTGATGATTATGTTTTATGACGATATCATGTTGAATATGCTGCATAGGCTATACTTTGTTCGCATTCCTGTCAAAAATAAACCAATCACGCCTGAATCACAAACTTTATCCAAAACTATACCCAGTTGTTTCGTCTTGTCTTGGGGTTGACGAGCTGAGCAGTATTTTGATCATCTAATCTATTTTCAATGTTTTCTCTTCCATTTTCCAGGAAAAGTACCTGAAGGAACGCTTCAAGGTCAACGGAAAGACTGGAAATCTTGGAAACAGCGTATCTTTCGAACGACAGAAGATGAAGGTCTACGTCAACTCTGATGTGCACTACTCCAAACGCTATCTGAAATACTTGACCAAGAAGTATTTGAAGAAGAACAGCTTGCGTGATTGGATTCGTGTCGTATCCAACGATAAGGATTTGTACGAACTGCGCTACTTCAGAATCAGTTCCAACGATGATGAAGAAGAAGATAACGAGTAAGCTTTCTGAATACATGTAAAGGCTTCGGTTTAAGAAGTTCAAAATGATATCCAAACTTGTATAATTCTAAATGATTCGAAATCCGACCAAGTGTTGTTGTTAACCCTAAGATGTTTTGCATGATCATGAACATTAGGTAAGGTTAAGGTGAATCGCTGTGGAAGTTTTATTCCTAATTTATCTAATTTACACCTTGCAATTTCAAGAGCACACATATCGAAAAAGGCAACAAGGAAACTGGAACTTTACGTTTGCTGCAATGCAGTTAACAGGGAGTTCCAATTTCATGAGCGGTGTCGTAACAGTCCGAGATTTGTGTTCTAGAAAACTATTAGCGAATTCGTTTATTATCGGGGAACGAAACCGAATTTTTCGTCAGTGCGAACCTCAACCTGAGCTGGGGTTTAAAAACAAACGATCAAACTGACGTTTGTCAGAAAACAAGCAGACCCAATCTTGATACCCCATCCAGGTTGGAACTGAATAATACTGGATTAACAATAGAAAAGGGCCCATCAGCATTTGTAAACAAACCGTTCTAAAGCCCTTTCCTCACAAAGCGAAAGCAGCCCACGCAAACCAACACCATAATCGGGTAGGCGAAACTTTTCCCTATCCGATAATAGTGTTGGTTTGTGTGAGGAAGGGGCTTTAGAACGGTTTGTTTACAAATGCTGATGGGCCCTTTTCTATTGTTGATCCATTATTATAAACGAATTCGCTATATAAGTGATAGTAGGGCATATCAGCCATCATGACGGGCAGTGATCATGATCATTAGCAAATTGATATTTTTCCGCTGTCATACACTCTCAATAGCACGTGTGATATTGGAGCAAAATATAATGCTTGATATTGAATTTAGAAGCTCCTTTGATATTGCGAGACTATTCACAACGAGTGAAGTTAAAGGTGAGAGTTGAATTGACGCAAAAATGATTCCATTGCACCTCGTTTTCTTAAGCGCTCATTACACATATCAATATATTAACATTAAATTGACATACTGACAATAATATTGAAAAGGTGATATTGAAGACGATAATTGATGGCAAGTATTGACGAAAAGCTGATTTTAATTTCATTTTGTCAATCCTCAGAATGTGTTGACAAAAAACCGTAAATTTCGCCATCAATATCATCAATATACGAATATTGACAACATTAATGGCAACACGTTAGAAGCCTTTTACTTCAATGTATTAAAGTCAATATTACATGTCTCAATTCCCGCACACAAGAAACATGGATCAGCAAACAGAAAGTGTGTATAGAGTTAACGTTTGCATTCGGGTCCAAACAGAAACCATTGCTGGACCTGTTTGTATAGAAAATACTTGCTACACACTGAATTCGAATCACCGAAGGCGGTAAATTTTGCCAAACAAAAAAAAATCAACAAATTTTAATTGTATCTTTAAAAGGGGTTTACCAGGTCTGTACATTTTCGGAAAAAATCTCCAAATTTTAAAATTTTCCACTGATTTGTAAACTTTTACCGAACAGTTCCGTAGTTTAAAAACTACCAAACAGCGGAGTCCTGATTTAGTAGATATATATAGAAACCAATTTTCACCCAACTTATACTTGCACATTTTAAATTAATTTCCAGGATTTTTAGAATAAATAGTGTTATATAATGATCTAGTCCAAGTCTATTCTTAAGTTCTCATATAAATTTAAAGGAATTTTGTTTACAGAATGATGAATGAACTAGGTGATTCATTATAGCATCCAATTTTATTTTTGATATCACTGAACTCTCCTGTTTCGTTAGAAGAATAACGTTTACCTAATGTTGGTGGGCGGGCTTAATTTCATGCTTTATAGTGGAGTGTTGGAGACGGTAGGTTTATGGTCGGCGTTGCTGGCTCATGCCGCGATAGAATGGCGACATGGGCAGGCGATGGGGATTACTAAGCTTCCCCTCTCTGATAAACCGCTGCATGAGAGAACCAAAGATCTAGTCTAGCAGTGATAGTATCACACTTGTTACTCCTTTTATTGAGAGCCGCGTCGTAGTACGCTTACGTATAGGCACTGACGTTGGGTGTGATACTGGCGGGTTTTGCCGCAAATCACTCTTATTTTATTTATTTTTTACGCAGATAGATTTATTTGGGTTTGCAAGGGAATTATACTATTGAAATATTTCAGAAAGTGCCCAACAGTGCTCCTTCTATTTGCGTGACAAGCTTTCATTGTTGTTTTCATTGAAGTATTACTCAGAAAACAATGTTAAACATCATTTTTGTACAACATCCCACTGCGACCTAGCAAGAAGTACAGTCGACTTGTTTCGCGCTCCGGTATTTCGGAAGTTTTCTCGGTATTCGGTTGGTTTAAATTATCAGTTTTTTCTCGCTTAGTGATTACTGGCATAGTACCCGGCTAAACAATTATCTGAAAGTGAGTTTTTCTGAGAAGAAAGTGGTTTTCGGCGCCATCGGAAAGAAAATTGTTCACTTGCAATTGGATATTCGCAAACCAATTTGCGCTTCATCGGTGCGTGATCACGCATACCTGCACACAGATCATCGTCATCGAGTGTCAGCATCTGCCTTCGCATTTATACCGGTCATCCATCATCGTGTGTCCAGCAGAGTGCCGAGCATAATACAAGCACACCACTACAAAGATCGCCCGCACACGCGCATCGAAGGTCACCCACGCTGCGCGTCGCTCCGCTGCTGCTGTGTAATCACTCGGTGGTAGTAGTATAGCAGATAAGTTTTTTTTTTCCTGTTTCTTTCTCTCGCCCATCAGTTAAATTTAATTTTGTGTTTCTGTGTTTGTAGTTTTTTTTTCTGTTTATTGTGTCTGTGTGGTTTTAAGCATCGTTTCAGTGGTAGAGCGTTTACCGCTCCCACTAGTACGGCAAAATGGACGTCTCGTCAGAAGACGATATGGACATTTTGTCGGAAGATGACACCAGTTTGCCACTCGATGGCAAGAAAAGACGAAAACGTCCTGTCATTCATGGTTCGTCTCAAAAAAGCCCCCGATCGCGAGCCTATCCAGATGACTCGACTGGGCCATGGGTTGTCTACTTTCAGCCCAAAAACAAACCTTTGAACTTGATGCAAATTTCCACTGATCTGACGAAGCGATACTCAGCCGTGACCGAAATCACGAAGGTTAGGCATAATAAACTTCGTGTTGTCGTTTCTAACCTGAAGCAGGCTAACGAGATTGCTGCCTCCCAGCTCTTTACGATTGAGTACAGGGTTTACATACCAGCTCGTGATGTGGAGATCGAAGGTGTGGTCACCGAAGCGAGTCTGACCCCCGAGATCTTGGAGAAGCAGGCGGTTGGCCGTTTCAAGAACCCCTTGCTCCCCCCGGTGAAGATACTGGATGTCCAAAAACTGGGCTCAGTATCTGTCAGCGAGGGTAAAAAGAGTTTTACCCCCACAGACTCGTTCCGTGTGACCTTTTCTGGTTCAGCCCTTCCTCACTACATCGAGCTGGGAAAACTTCGACTACCTGTGCGCTTGTTCGTTCCCCGGGTCATGAACTGCCAAAACTGTAAGCAGTTGGGACATACGGCGTCCCACTGTGGCAGCAAGGCACGCTGTTCCAAATGCGGGGAGAAGCACGAGGATGGCGCCTGCACAGTCACTGCACCAAAATGCGTGTACTGTAAGGGAACTCCTCATGGTCTCTCGTCATGCCCGGTGTACAAACAACGCGGGGAAAAACTAGAGCGCTCTCTTAAAGAACGTTCCAGGCGGTCTTTTGCAGAAATGCTTAAGACAGCCAAGCCATCGACCAACGAAACAAATCCCTTCGCTCTTTTGTCAGATGACGAGTCTGGCTCTGACTTGGCTGAGGAGGGAGTTTCTTTCAGTTTTCCGGAAGGTTCTGCCCGGAAACGAAAACGCATCCGTTCGCGGAAAGTTGCAGATCAAGAACCCCAAATCAGCTTGCCCAAATCAAGGAGTGGTGGAAAAAAGGAGACTTCTACTCCTCCTGGATTCCGCAGAACTGATTATACCCAGGATTTTCCACCTCTCCCGGGGACATCCAAAACCCCCGATGCCCCAATTTTCAGAACACAAGCCCCTTCTTCATCTGGGTTGTTCTCATTTGATAACATTGTGGACAGTATCCTCAATTACCTCGATATTTCTGATCCTCTGAAAAGCATTGTTCTGGCAATGCTTCCTACTGTGAAAACCCTCTTGAAGCAGTTGACATTAAAGTGGCCCCTCCTTGCAGCAATCATCTCCTTCGATGGATAATTTTCCAAACGAGGTCGGGGATTTGATCACTGTTCTACAGTGGAATTGTCGAAGTCTTATTCCTAAGATAGAATCGTTTAAGTTTTTGGTTCACAATAACGATTGTGATGCATTTGCTCTGTGTGAAACTTGGCTCTCTTCAGATATCGATCTTCCTTTTCATGATTTTAACATTATTCGACTGGATCGTGAGGATTCGCGTGGAGGAGGAGTACTTTTGGGGATCAAAAAGTGCCATTCCTTCTATAGAGTGAATCTTCCACAATTTCCAGGTATTGAAGTTGTCGCATGTCAGGCTTTTGTTAAAGGCAAGAGCCTTTGTATTGCTTCTGTGTATATTCCTCCCCGAGTTTCGATTAGTCAAAAACAACTTTCAGATATCTGTTCAGTTCTTCCTACTCCACGGTTGATTATGGGAGATTTTAATTCCCACGGTACAGGCTGGGGGGAACTGTATGATGACAACCGTTCTACTTTGATATATGACCTCTGTGATAACTTCAATATGACAATTCTTAACAATGGAGAAGTAACACGTCTGGCTGGTCCATCCTCAAATGGAAGTAGATTAGACCTCACACTTTGCTCTAATTCATTATCGTTGGATTGCACGTGGAATGTGATCCAGGATCCCCACGGTAGTGATCACTTGCCGATCAAAATTTCGATTGCCAGTGGGTTCAATTCGTCGGAATCCGTTAACGTCGCGTACGACCTCACCCGTAATATCGATTGGGCAACGTTCAAGACCGCGATAGATGAAGCCGTGTCGTCGGTAGAAGAGCTTCCACCGTTGGAGGAAT